AAAATCAAACTCCTAAACACGACCATGAATGCTCATACTGATCACAGGCTCCTAAAAATGTGCTGTTTGAATCCATTTTTTAAATCAAACTTGTATTAAATTAAATTTTTCTGGTGAAGGGTCCGTCAAATGCTTTTCTCCATGGAGCTGTTATTACTTTGTGTTGAATGTTTCACAGTGTCGTATTAAACCTTTCTATCTTCATGGAGACCAAACAAGACGAATTTACAGGTCAGATCTGTGGAGAGGCGACCCCGCTCACAGTCATAATCCCTGTTGTTCTCGTTTTTTTGAGCAATTAAACCATCTGTAATTGAATAAATGTAATGTAGAGCTGTATTAAATCACATTGCAGAACATTTTAAGCATCTCCACAGAAACAAGAAGGCGACGGACCCTCAACCGAAAAGTTACACAGTGCACCTTTGAGCAAATACTCAAAATTTAACTAGTCTATAACTACTTTAACTACTCTTTACTGTAAATGCAGAGTAGAGATCGATGAAACTTACAGATGAATGAAGTAAGTGTTAACCTGCTTCGTACTACACTGCTCTTGTACAGTACACCTCATATTCTGCTCCAGCTTTACCTGTCAGAACGCTTTAAAATGTGACAGTTTTAGCTCTGGCTCTAATCTCAGGAGCTTGAACACAACTGAAGCGTGAGGCGTTTGAGTGATGCCGGCGCTCGGTCCGTACACTCCAGGGAGAAGAGAGCAGTTACCTGAGTCAGAACAACGACTCCCGGTCCTGGAAAGACGTATACCAGTCTATGTACTCTTATACTTGTTCAGATACAGCTCAAGATCATTCCGGAAAGGTTCATTTTTGTTCTGTGAATGGGATTTTTTCAGTATCGATACCAGCTCAAATGAGTGTCTAGTTTTGATACTAGTTTTAGTGTCGATCAAGTGCAGTCTGGTAGTTCAGTAGTATTTTTTTGTCTATATGAAATGACTGTATTTTTCGGACTGTAAGTTGCACTTTTTTCATGGTTTGGGTAGTCCTGCGACTTATACTCTGGTGCGACATATTTATATATGTAAAAATTTCACACTGACAGTTGTGAGAGGCTCTCGTCTTGTGTGTCAGTATCTGCTGCTCCTGTTCCTCCTGTACCACTGTCACTTGGCTCTACTGCACATGTTGACAGCAGAAGAAAGAGAAAGAGCCGCTGTCCTGTCTGGTATCATGTCAGTCTATCGCACCACTTCTTCTGTATCACTGACAATTTAAAATTTAAACAAACATAAAGACAACCGAAACCATCCTGTCGGGATTCAGAAAGGCCGGAATAATTCTAACTGGAACTGATGCTGAGTCTGACGACAGCTACACAGAAGAGGAAGCGGCGCTCTGTTTACCTCCGGAGGTCACGGAGTTATTCAGAAGTGACACCGAGGATGAAAGAGTTGATTTGGAGTGAGATGGAGAGTTTGGTAAACTTGTTCTGTTCTGTTGTTTATGTTATAGTTTATCTGAAGAACTGTTCATATGTGACGTTAACAGTCTGTTGTTCTCTGTTCTGTTGTTATTACTAGAACTTGACTTTCAAGATGAAATGTCAGTTCCTGGTCTCTGATTTTATAAAATAAATTTCCGACAAAAAGTGCAATTTATATGTGTTTTTTTCTTCTTCATTTTGCATTTTTTTGACTGGTACAACTTATAGTCCGGAGCGACTTATAGTCAGAAAAATACAGTATATCTATATGGTGGGCACCAGTTATACTTGTTTTTGCATTTACATCAGACATGTCCAAACTATGGCCCTCAGACTAATTTTTCTTGGCCCTCAGGCTTCCAGGTGAATTGGCCCAAATTACCTTGCATCAATTAAAAAATAATTTGTTACTGCAAGTTTTTTGAAAATCTACCTTGATAAAGCTAATATTTAATATTTCGTTTGTGGTTTTAAGGATCTTAGCATGAATAAAGTCTGATGGTTCATTCTAACATGTTAAACATGCAGATATTTCAATTATTCACTGTACTGAGCACCAGTCTACGGCCCTTGATCATCCCTCTGCTTCGTCTGTGTTTAGATATGTGGCCCTTGATGAAAAAAGTTTGGACACCCCTGATGTACATGAACATTATTTTTTCAGTACCTTTTCATGTATTATTGTTCGGTTGTCGATTAACAATAATGTGGCTTTGTTGTGTGGTTATTTGGGGGGTCTCTATTATACACAGCTTTTAAAATTTCAGTATCACAAGGCTAGTATCTTGTGTATTTTTGTATTTATTTTTTTTGTATTGTGGGCTTCTAGTGGTCTTAAAAAGTACCCATGTTTATTTGTTCATTTAATAATTTTCACCAGGGACGCCAAAGGGAACAGCTAACTATAACAAAGAAGAGTTCAATTGACTCTCGACGGTTTAGTCCTGGTTTGGGTCTAATTCTGATGTTATAGGCTACAATTTAATAATTACAATTTTATAATTTCCTCGCAAAACTACAGCCGTCGCGCGCCAGATCCTCACTTTCGCCAGCACGTAAATTGTTTCAATGCGATTATATGGATTATTTGGAGATCGTTTGACACACAAATCAAAATCGCATTACACCAAAGAGAAGATTTGTCTTTCCGAATACCACCAGATCTAAACCAGGTCTAAAAGTGGACTACATCATTTCTGCCGTAATTCTTGACCAGAAATTTTCCAAAGGAGGACAAAAAAGTGGATAAACAAACTCTAAAATGCGCAAACCCACAAACTGAAGAGAGAAACACTGAGTTAGACTGTTTTTTAAAGGTGCACTGTGTAACTTTTCTGCTGGAGAGTACGTCGTTGTTTTGTCTGGAATGTTTCACAGTTAAACCATTCTATCTTTATGGACACCAAAGTAGACCAAGTTACAGGTCAGATCTGTGGAGAGGCGACCCTGCTCACAGTCAGAACGTCTGTTTTTCAAGGTATTTTTCGGCTATAAAACCACTTGCAACTGAATAAATGTAAAGTAGAATTGTTTAAGGTCATACTGTGGAACATTCTAAGCAGAGCAATGACATATCCATAGATCAGGGTGACCAGACGTCCCTATTTACCCGAGACAGTCCCAGTTTTGAGCCCTGTGTCCCCTGTTCCAGCACATTTATCCAAAAACCATTGATTTGTTCCAGTTTTATACAAGACATGCCCCAGGTGTCCCTATTTTTGACACATTTGATGCCTGCCAACAGTAAAAAGAGGCATGAACTGTCATTTGTTGAGGTAAAATACAGAAAAGCTGCTTAAAAAATGACCAAAACACAAAGAAAATGTGACTATAGTGACTCACATTAGTGCAGTGTATCACAGTTTTACTTAATTATGCACTCGTTTCACAATTTTATTAGTATCAACCAGCAAAAAACGAGGGTGTCCCAGTTTTTGAGTATGAAAATCTGGTCACCCTACCATAGATCCTCAACCTAAAAGTTACTAGGGCTGGGTATCATTAAGAAGTCGCCGATACGATACAAAGGCCATGATACGATACATATCTCGATACAGTGCACTTTCGATTCAATACGATATATTTCAAATCGATTTGATACATTTCCATAAAAATAATGGCTAAATTATGTCTGTGATACTAAAACTCTTTATTAAACCACTTCTTGTGTAAAGTTAATATGAAACAGGGTCCAGTCAAGCAGTAACAGAGGGAAACAGGGGCAGGTTTTTTACATTCAAATGTCTCTTATTCAGAAACTAGAGGGACTATTGAAATAAGTAAAGTATCAGAATGTAGGAAAGAGTTACACTCCAACAGGGTCAAGTTAAACCTGTGATATTCTTTCAAGTTGTTGACAAAAAATTTAAAAACTCATGTCAGTAACGGAGGGAATGAAATATGCAGCACTTTTTGGGCAATAAATCCAAACAGTGATAACTCTTGGTTCTCACTTACATATCCTTAACAAACTGGTTTGAATATTTGCTTCATATAGTTTTCTACCATATGGTACAAGATTAGGTTGAAAAACCTCTTACTTTTTGAGTAATGAGATTTTTTATTAAGAAAGGTCATGGTAACGGAGGGAAAAGTAACGGAGGGAAAATTGTGCAAACAAGTAGAAGGTGCAGGATTTTGCATAATTTGTCAACTTTTTTTCTTCCGAATACTTTAATATTACTTCAAAATGAAAGGAAACTATTTCTATAAAATATATCAGTCCTTCCAAGCAAATTTTTATCATTTTAAATACATTTTTTTTTGAAAAATCATGTACCTTCATCAACAGTTCAAAGATTGAATAACACAAGATATGATGAAATACATCCATTTATTTACATGATTTGCAGGTCTTTGAAATTTGGGAAATAATTTTTGTTCCATGTTTCATACATGGTCTGTTTAAAACGTATGTAACTTTAGAACCAAAAATGGTACAGAAAAAAAAGGTAAACAGTTTCATAAACTAGAGTACATATGTATCTGTTGAATACATTTTTATATCAGATGCATTAACTTGAATTTTTGGCCTTGCTGTTTACTTCTGCTTGACTGGGCCCAACACAAACATTTTAATCATCAAAACAGTGAAAATGCCAAATTTTTCCTTTCACTCAACAAACAACAAAACTGTAGCTCTGTAACAAAATAATTAGGTAAATATACCAAAAAATACTCCCCAATATCCATATTGTATCATCGCATTAAACAACACGATATATCGATATTTCAATATTTTTGTTTTGTTTGTTTGTTAAAAGTTACACAGTGCACCTTTAAGATACAGCCTGTGTTATTCCGTAAGAAAGTCAGTGTAATAAGCCTGTTTCACGTATTACTGATTTACTTTTAGGCTGGAAATTGTTTTATTTAGGCTATTGTATGCACCTTCCTGGTTTCGCTCCATCAGATTCCTCCACTGCTTCCTCAATTGTACAGACGGATTGTTTACGCACACGCTTCTTTCCACGTCAAGTATGTACACACAAGCCGATATTTGCAGAGATTCAAGCGTGCCCCGGTGCTCCTCGGCCCCTCTCCCAGTCTCTCACCTCGCGTATGGTGCAGTATTCCCGCTGAGGAGCCCACACACGCCGCTGGTAGAAATAGTTCAACGCGATGAACAAGGCTGATCCGAGCGCGGCCACGGCGGCGGAGAGCGCGACGTGAACGTGCCTCAACAGGACCATCTCCGGATCGGGACCAGGACCAGGGACCGAGACTGGGGAATGGAGTCTTTTTTTTTTTTTTTTTTTTTTTTGGAGGAGAGACCGGGTTCGGACCGGGTTTGGACCAGACGGAGACCAAGACGCGAATACATGTGAGCGAGACGGACGCGTGTTTTTGTTTCGGGAGAAGCCAATGGAGAGAAAGGGGGCGTTCCGTGAGGCTGGAGGTGAGGCTGGTCTATGACACTGTAATAAAGGTTAAAAATAGCCCACAGTCAGTGGTGGGGAGTAACAGATTACATGTACCGGAGTTATGTAATCAGAGTACAAATTATGAGTAACTGTATTCGGTTACAGTTACTGTTTCCATGAGAGGTAATTGGATTACAGTTACTTTGTTGAAATAAATGAGATTACACGGCGGGATTTTCCTGTTTTCATATTTTGGGCCCTTTCTTTTTTCTTTTTTTCTTTTTTTTTAACCAAGTCTAAACCAGGACTAATTCGGGATCGAACCAGGACTGAACCCAGGACTAAAACCAGGTCTAAACTAGATCTAAACCAGGTCTAAACTAGATCTAAACCAGGACTAAAACCAGGTCTAAACCAGGGCTAAAACCAGGTCTAAACCAGGGCTAAAACCAGGTCTAAACCAGATCTAAACAGGACTAAAACCAGGTCTAAACTAGATCTAAACCAGGACTAAACTAGATCTAAACCAGGACTAAAACCAGGTCTAAACTAGATCTAAAGCAGGACTAAACTAGATCTAAACCAGGACTAAAACAGGATTTAACAGGACTAAACCATGTCTCCTCTTCTTCTATCAATAATATTTTTAATACGGTTTAGTAAAGACTGGGCTTTTTTTTTTCTTTTAGCAGAAAAAACATCTTATGTGAAAATGTCCGACTTTGCTTCTCTACAGCAAATCAAGTAATCCAAAGTATTCAGATTATGTTACTCCCCTTAAATAATTTAATGGATTCTGTTACAAACTACGTTTTGGGATATGTAATCTGTAATCTGTAGGGGAATACATTTTAAAAGTAACCTTCCCAACACTGCCCACAGTTTAACATCATTTACTATTTAACACTAACACAAGTTTTCATCTTATAACCAATGTGGAATTCATTATTTTATAGGCTGTTTTTAACCATAAAGGCACAGTCTACAGCAGGGTGACCAGATTTTCAGAATAAAAAATTGGGACACCCCTCAGAGTGTGGTGGTTGGTAATAATAAAAATGTGAATCGAGTGTGCAATAAAAAATAAAATAAAATCAATAACTAAAATAATAATAATAATAATAATAATAATAATAATAATAATAATAATAATAACTCAGCCCATTCATGACTAACATGTGTCAATATAGTCACATTTTGTTTGTGTTTTGGTCATTTTTAAGCAGCTTTTCTCTATTTTACCTAAAAAAAATGACAATGTGTGCCTCTCTTTACAGTTAGCAGGGATCAAATTGATTAAAAAATAGGAAGACCTGGGGCATTTCCTATATAAAACTGGAACAAATCACTGTTTTTTGATAAACTGAGAATAGAAAGGAGTCGAATTGAACAGGAAGCCTTTAGTTAGTAAGTAAGTCTTTATTTATTTAGCGCTTTTCACAGACACATGTCACAAAGACACTTTACAGAGCATTTATAGATTCATTATTCTTTTCTTTCCATACCAGGTGATGGTAAGCTATTATTGTAGCCACAGCTGCCCTGGGGCATACTGACAGAAGCACGGGTGCCATGCAAATTGGCGCCATCAGCCCCTCCGACCACCACCACCATTGTCATTATAGACAGTATAAAATATAATATTGTCATAAAACTAAAACTACTATCAACTACTATCTACCACATGTACAATAAAACTTGTACAAAATCCACCAGGGGTACACAGACAGACAGACACATACCAGTAAAACAGACTTATTTGTATTTATTTATTTAATAGGGACAGTGCATATTAATGAACATCTACAGCACTGCAGTGTAAATATTCCCGATTATAGTAAAATGCTCATTTCCATCTGTAGTCCCTCGGCACGTAACACCACAAATTTAACAAAGAAAAAACAACAAAAACAAGTGACAGTTCTGAATTAAAAGTGTCCACTAGTCTGTTTTTCCTTTAGCCGCTGTTTCAAGTGGGATTTAAAGTGGTCAGTGGAGTCTCTTATTGATAATGGGAGACTGTTCCAAAATTTTATGTCTCTGACTGAGAGCACACTTTGTCCGAATGTGGTGCGTCTGTGTGGAGCTCACAGTCCCCCTGAGCCGTGGCCCTAGTTCACCTCCCACTGACAGTTTTTACTTTAATAAAATCCTGTAATGGAGGGGGGACAGGTCCATGCAAAACTTTAGAGATTTGAGACTAAAGTGACTAAATCCACTGAACTCCAAACTGGGACTGTCACGGGGAAATAGGGATGCCTTCATCTTTGTCCATGAGTCTCCAACCTGCAGCTCTCCATCCCCTTCCAGGTAGCTCGCCAAGGGATTTCTGAAAATTACATATTGTGCTTAATAATAATAATAACTAAAATCTAATTATTTACCATTGTAAATGTACAATTTTGATGCCTAACATTTGCACTAATGAATGGATAATGGTTTATGTTTTATAAATTTAACATAAGATAAGATAAGATAAGATGTGCCTTTATTAGTCCCACAGTGGGAAAATTCCATGTTGCAACGCACAATTCAAGAACAGCAGGAAAAGGTAACATGCAATAAAACAAGATAATAGATAATGGCTTAAAAATTATTTCAAAGTTGAATGACACATGTTCAGTGTTAACAGTGTTTGTTGTACAGTTTGACAGCAGCAGGAAGGAAAGACCTGCGAAACCTCTCCTTCTAACTGTTCCCTATCTAAGGCTCACCATGGCTCATATACTTTATCAGTTTCTTATGACCTCTAAAATGAGTAGCACTCTGGCATTTTCATTTTGTAAAGGTAGCTCAGCAGAGTAAAAAGGTTGGAGACACCTGCCCTAGTCTAAAGCCTATATATATGTTATATCAAAAGGTTACACAGTAATCCAATGTCTCCCACTTTTCAGTGTTAGTCCCAGTCCTTTTCGACAAGGCAAAATGCACAAAGCAGTGCTGGAAAGTATCTGAATATCCTACATGTACTGAGAATATGTATTCAGAATACTAATTTTGAGTACGAGAATACAGTTATTTTCTAAAATCAAAGGAATACATGGGAGTGATCAAGCACTCCCATGTATTCCTGCACAGAATATAATGAGGAAAAATATAAAAGAAAACATGTTTTAATGCAGGTATTCAGTATTCAAGCAAAGCATTCTTCACATCACTGCGGAGGAGTTAGAATGGAGTTAGAGACATACAGTTTGTCCTTGTTCTAAATTGCTGTATAGGCCTTTAGCCCACGCACATTTTATTGCTTTATTTTTCACAATAACAGTAAATACTTCAATTTACTAAAGACTCGCAGTGTTCTGTATTTTAAAGGTACACACTGCCTGGAATATTCCACAGTAGTATAACATAAAACGTATCTGTTGTTTCATCACAGATCCGAATTATAACTTGGCCTGCAGTTACCAGCTGGTTACCCCCTGCAAAGTTTTAATGGCACACTGTGGAACATTCTAGGCAAAGAAAAACAAGACAAGCAGAGGGCAAATTGTTCACCAGAAAGGTTAAGTGTGCAGGCTGTTTCCAATTCCCAGCTGCCACTTTTGACTTTGATCCTTAAGGTGGATCTTTATATTGTTTTCAGCTGTGTTGATCACATATAATTTTATATATTTTTTTTGTAATTCCTCTTTGCTTTGACAAACCGATTTACTGTGAAATGCCTCCTAAATATAACAAGGTGGTGTATACTTTTATTAACTATTTAAGATAAGATAAGATAAGATAAGAAAACATTTATTAGTCCCACAGTGGGGAAATTCAAGTGTTGCAACGCGCAATTCAAGAACAGCAGGAAAAAGATAACATGCAATAAAACAGATAATAAATAATGGCTTAAAAATAAATAATGGCTTAAAAATAATGTAATTATTTCCCATCTTCAATCTCTTGCATTGTCCACCAGAGGGTGCTGTAGAATCAACATTTGCTCCTTTTACGTTATAAAGATACAGGGTATCTACATAATAAACATCCCACAACATTCTAATCTATTTTATATTAAAAAGTTAAAGACATTTAGATAAATATTTTCATATCTGCTTATATTTCTTTGTAATGTGTAGCCAAGTCTATACCAGTTCTATTCCTCTGTATGATTTCGAGTATGAGTATGAGTCGCTCACTTGTTTATTGAATATATTGTGATTTTATTTACTTTACAGAAATTTTACAGTCATTGTTTACTTAGATCTAGCATGCAATATTTTTCGCTCGTTACTTTTTGCGCTCGTCAAATGGCCAACAACATTATTACGTGTCTTCTGCCTCGGCAAAATAGACTAATGAAAAAAACAAAACAAAATCTCTATAATAAATTTGACAGGTGATCACAATATGTACAATATTTTTGCAAAAGAAATTATAATAATGTGTACAATTTTTAACCGGAAGTCATAAAATGCATCGTTCGCATTCCCGCTTTTATTGTGAAAAGATTTCCGGTTGCTGTATTATTGATGGGGGCTTGTTGGCGGCCGGAGGACTGAAGTGGGACTGGAGCACTCTGTGGAATAAGACCGACTTTACCGCCGCAATCGCAGTATTTTCCGCCGCAATTCCTCCGCGGACATTTACCGGATAAACTTACCAAAGACGGGGCCAAGTTTTTACCCGTTTTAAGCGTAATTTAGGGACTGTTCTGGCCGGTGTTTCCTCGCTGTCTCCCCCGGCGCTGAGTGCTCGTTTGCCCGCTGCTCTACTCAACATGGAGGTAGCCTGTTCCCCGCAAGAAGAGCCCCTTTTTGGACCATTTTTGAGCTTTTAATCTGCATTTCCTCACGTTTTAACACATCAACTCTCACGATCGGTGCTTTTAAGTTGTTTTACGTTTAACTTATCGCTTTTGGTGGCCGTTTTCATCGCTAAAACAAGACATCTGTTGAGAGGACGCACTGCAACGCTCATGTTTTGTGGACCGTGGATAATTTACGAGAAGTAGTCCCGCTTTTAAAAGTTGTTCTTGGAGTTTAGGACGATCGCGAAGTTACTAAACATTTGCATACAACTTCGAAAACATTCAGCCATTGACTTGTGTATGTATGTGTGACAGTAGCCATTGCGTTTTATTGGATCTTGCACTTGGTTACAAAAGAGGAATGCATTGAGAATCATTGAGAATCACCATCAGCCACTGGATTTTACGTATTTGCGGATTATTATGGATTTTTCGGATTATGCGCAAGGCTGTGTGCCCAAAACGAAGCTGTGTTTTTGTCACTGAGCGCAGAAATAACTCGTTGAAGGCGATGATGACCGAGAAAAGCGATGGTTTCTGAATAAGTGGGCTTTGCATTTTACATGGGGACTGGCTGGACATGCCACGGAGCGAGCTGCCACTGCCCGAAGGCTGGGAAGAAGCCCGAGACTACGATGGGAAAGTGTATTATATTGACCACATCAACCAGTGCACGAGCTGGATCGACCCGCGAGACAGGTGAGGAGGTACCCCAGGTTGTGAGGAGGACGTACCCCAGCTTGTGAGGAGGTACCCCAGGTTGTACAGAGATACCCCAGGGTGTGAGGAGGAGGAACCCCAGGTTGTGAGGAGGTATGCCAGGGTGTGAGGAGGTACGACAGGGTGTGAGGAGGTACCCCTGGGTGTGAGGAAGAGGTACCCCTGGGTGTGAGGAAGAGGTACCCCAGGGTGTGAGGAAGAGGTACCCCAGGGTGTGAGGAAGAGGTACCCCAGGGTGTGAGGAAGAGGTACCCTTGGGTGTGAGTAGGAGGAACCCCAGGTTGTGAGGAGGCATGCCAGGGTGTGAGGAGGTACCGTAAGATGTGAGGAGGTACCACAGGGTGTGAGGAGGTACGCCAAGGTGTGAGGAGGTATCCAGGGTGTGAAGAAGAGGTACCCCTGGGTGTGAGGAAGAGGTACCCCTGGGTGTGAGGAAGAGGTACCCCTGGGTGTGAGGAAGAGGTACCCCTGGGTGTGAGGAAGAGGTACCCCTGGGTGTGAGGAAGAGGTACCCCTGGGTGTGAGTAGGAGTAACCCCAGGTTGTGAGGAGGTACGCCAGTTTGTGAGGAGGTACGCCAGAGTGTGAGGAGGTACCCCCGAATGTTAGGAGGAGGTATCCCAGAGTGTTAGGAGGAGGTACCCCAGGGTGTGAGGAATAGGTACCTGAGGGTGTGAGGAGGTACCCCAGGGTGTGAGGAAGAGGTGCCCCTGGGTGTGAGTAGGAGGTACCCCAGGATGTGAGAAGGTGGTGGCGGAGTGGTTAGCCTGGGCTGTCTCCTGTTATGATGCTGTGAATCTCAAAGGTGGATTGTGTAACTTTTCTAATGGATGGTAAGGTCACTAGTTGTCTCCATGGAGATGTTATTGCTTTGTCTGGAATGTTTCACAGTATGGTATTAAACCTTTCTATCTTCATGGAGATCAAACCAGGTCAGATCTGTGGAAAGGCGATCCCCGCTTACAGTCAGAATGCTTGTTTTTCTTGGTATTTTTGAGTGATAAAACCACCTGTAATTGAATAAATGTAAAGTAGATCTGTTTAATGTCATACTGTGGAACATTCTAAGCAGAGTAATCATGACAGCTCCATAGAAACAAGCAGATGACGGACCCCCAACCAAAAAGTTACACAGTGCTATTTGGCAATTATCAATCAGTGGACTAAACGACTTAAGATGTTATGAAACTTTAAAGGTGGATTGTGTAACTTTTCTGGTGGATGGTAAGGTCAGTAGCTGTCTCCATGGAGATGTTAGTGCTTGGCCTGGAATGTGCCACAATATTAGGGCTGTGCAAAAATACTGAATTATCGATATATATTGTTTGATTTGATGATACAACATCGATATCGTGGGCTGCTGTACCGATATATCGCCATGAGTATTTTTACGGTTATTTTACTAAATTATTTTGTGTAAGAGCTACAATTGTGTTGACATTTCACTGTTTTGATGAGTAAGATGATTGTTTTCATATTAACTCAGCACAAACTTAGAGGACTTTTAATATCACAGCCATGATTTAGCCTTTTTTTTTTCAGAGAATCGTATTAAATTGATTCCAAATATATTGTATCAAATCATATTGCATCAAATATGCACTGTATTGAAAATCTTATGTATCGAGGTATGTATCGAGGTATATATCGTATCGGCAACATCTTAATGATACCCAGCCCTATAAAATATGGTGTTAGACTGTGTTATTTCCATAAAAACAAGCATCCAACTCAATCCACTTTATTTATACAGCACATTTCAAACAGAAACAGTTTCCAAAATGCTCCACAAATACATAATAATAACAATAATACAATATAATGATAAAATAAACACTCAGATTTAATCACACTAGTCTTAAAATGATAAAACTAGTAAAGTTAAATACCAGTAAAAACACAGAATAGCAATAAATAAAATAAAACCAATAAAATAAAAGACACAGAGGACCACACAACTAACGCAGTGTTAAAATCCAGAGAATAAAAGTGGTCTTACAACGAGACTTAAAAACACTCCACTGTTTTTTATAGCATGTGACACATCAAGTTAAGTTACAGGCCAGATCTATGGAGAGGCGACCCCACTCACAGTAAGAATGCACGTATTTCGAGGTATTTCTGAGCTAGAAAAACAGCTGTAATTGAACGAACGCAAGATGGATACATGATTTAATGACGTCCTGTGGAATATTCCAGACAGAGCAATAATATCGTCATGGAAACAAGCAGATGGCAGACACTATCCCTGGAAAGTCACAAATTCCCCTTTTAGACGGATAAATTGGCACCATGAGAATTGTTTTATGGCCAGAATTGTATAAAGTTATTATATGTCGTAAAAAAAAAATCAAACTGACTTTCATCTTCTCAATTTAAGGTTATGCTTTTTCGAATAATTCCAGACAATTGTTATTTCTAAATTAGAGCAATAAATACTTCTTCCAAACACAATTTCAACCTAATATGCCTTAGAGTTAGTGAATTTTCTTATCCAATCCAACTTTATTTGTATAGCACATTTTAGAAACAAAAGTGCTTCACACAGCAATGCAACATTTTACTTTAAAAAAGAAAATCAGCAGAATTATGTTTAATAAAGACACTAATAGAAAAATAAATAAAATAATAATAATAATAAAATCAATGAACAAAAATAATAAAATCAATACATAAAAGCAGTACTAAAACTAAAAGAGATAAAAACAATAAATAAAATAAAAGACAAAATGTATAAAATCGTAACTACATAGTACAGAGTAAGAACGAGTCTGTCACCTGCTTGTCTCCATGGAGATGTTGTTACTTTGCCCTGGAATGTTCCGCATTGAAATAATCTCCATGAAGACACAGTAGGTTCCCAGGTACAGGTCAGATCTGTGGAGAGACCGCACCAGTCACAGAAAAAATTAATGTTTTGTAGACTATTCTGTATCAATAAAACATCTAGAAAGTAAGTAATATACGTTTTAAAAGTCCTATATTACACAAAATTTACTCTTGTGAGCTTTAAGTTAAGTTTGAGTATTTTTAGTCTGTAAAGCTCAAAATGTAATGTTCCACCTGATGATGACATGAAGTGGTAGTTTTCAAGTTAACATCTACCTTTTTTTAACCTTTTGTTCAGTAGAGATTGGCAATTCCAGGCCTGAAATAATCAAAATTGTTCTAGTGGAGGTGTGTGGAGTTTAAAAACACAGTGGAGCACTTCCTGTATTACCACATGACATCACAAGGTGGAACAGAGTATTTGAGACAGTATGAGAAGAGAACTCAGCCTAAATATGCAGGGTTTGTGTGTTGAACGTGTGTGAATGAAACAAAACAAAATTCCAGGTCTGTTTGTGATGAAGAAACAACATAACATAGATGAGAAAATAGCATCTCCATGGAAACCAAAAGTTACGCAGTGCTTCTTTAACTTCCTGCCTGCTCGTCTAACTCATGCCTTCTGTAATACCTACTTAATACCTTTCGGTAGTTTCCAGCGGGCTTTGTAATTGTGCGGTTCAAACGTAGTCTTCTTGTTCTTGTTGCGGTTGAGTCGGCTCATTTATTAGTAATGGCAGTGAGGAATGCTGCTGTTGTCATGAAAACACGGAGTAGAGTGACAGTGAAAGTGAGCGGTGCAGTTTTCAAAAGCCCCAAGACACGACTACAGATCTGTAAAACCAACAACTAAACCTGGATTATTCTGTTTAAGGTCCTATATTATGCAAAGTTCACTCTTGTGAGTTTTAAGCCGTTACCTCCTCAAAAACAAACGTGGAGTTTTGTTTCGTTTAGTTTCGTTTCATTGGCCACGTTTACATGATGTCTTTAAATTAGGAATTAATTGTTCTGAATTAAATAGCTTGTAATTAAAATTTTCTCCCTCAAGTTTACATGGAAATAATAATTCTGAATTGAGGTTTACATAGATAACATGATAAATCGGCTTCAGCTGCTACCAGCCTTTTTGTCATCTCGGTTTGTCGTTACTCCACGGACACAAACACGATCCAATCTTTTTTCGAAGTCCTTCTGATGATAATGAAGCAGCAGGTCGAGAATTCTCTCATCATGCTTTCTGTCTGTCAGCTGAGGAGGAGAAGGGAAGAGGAGGAAGAAGACAAACTGAGTCAACGGCTACTCTACCTCAGCCCACTCCCGCATCCCGCTCACAAATCCAAAGAGACGTGGATGAAAGTCCGAAGCGAGGACTGATGGAGCCTTATCGTCCAGATCGCGTCAGAAGGACAACCAAACTACATGCATTGAACGACTGGAAGTATTTTTAAGAAGAATAAACATTTGCATGATCAAGGAATTAATTAATTTGACTTTAAAATCAAAATAAACCACCCACTTACTTCAGAATTAAGTTTAGTTTAGTATTTTACGTGGTCTTTTTTGATTGGTCTTTTTTATTCAGAATTAAATTGTTTTTATCTGGAATTAAAGCTCTCATGTAAACGTGGCAATTCACACACCTTTATTATTAGTCTGTCTACATCTCCAAAGCTCAAAAGGTTCTGTTGCACTTTGTGATGTCATGTAGTAGGGGTGTAACGATATCCAAGTCTCAGGATACAATATCGTCACGGTGGAACCTCACGGTACGATATTTATTGCGATATCGTGGGAAAGCTCACGATATGGTGTGGAGGCTCACGATCAGGGATGTAACAATATCCAAATCTTACGTTACGATGTTTTCACGATACACATCTCACAGTACGATATTTATTGCGATATTTTGTGGAGGCAAACAAACTGTTAATATGCTACTTTTTCCTCTTAAAAGGCCTTGACAAGACTTCTGACAAGAATCCAAAGAACTAAGACTTAAAAGTGCTCAGAACTGTTATTTCTTCTTGTCGTCTACACTGAAATTCAGCAAAGGATCATGGTCTATGTAGTTCTCTCTTTTTTTTAGCTGTTGCTGCACCATAACTCTTAATTTAAGCAAAGACACTTGTAATTCGATATATTGTGATG